TTTTATTAACAATGTAAGTTCAGAAGAATCTGAGGATCTCCACAGTAATTAGATTCATCAACCAAGTAACTAGTTCCATCTAAGGAAGATTCTTCAGAAAGTTTGAAAATATCTTGATACCACGTTATATTGATCTAGAGAAACATTGAAATTATTATCCACAATTTAAGCCTGGAAACGGAGACGGTTTCAATTATACAAAGGTCTGGACCGTAGAATTTTCATGGTATCAAAGGATACAAGACGCAAAATAAGGATAAAAATACAAAAATGAAAACGTGAAATTGCATTTAAATAATGAACGAAACGCGACCCAATTTGTTATTATAAAACGTTGAGCACAACGTTTAATCCTCTTAAAGTCCTCCATTATTCAAATCATTTCTTCTACAATTTTTCTCTCTCTCTTTTATCTTTCAATTATTATCGCCGGTTACTAATTAACGATAAAAATTCGCAAATTTCAGTGATAAAATTTATAAAATGCACACGAGTCATTAAACATCGAAGGAAATTAAAGCGCCCTTAATTATATATTTTTCTACTATACGTCTCTCCTAGAAATTTGCCTATCTTAATAAAAAATCACTATGTATCGTGCAGAAAGAAGAAGAAGAAGAAGAAGAAGAAAATACGCTTAATTACAACATTTTACATTATATTATATAACTGATATTTAAACTGATATAATATAAAGTTTCCAAGATTCACGATATTAAGTAATGCAAACCGCTAATTAACGGACACCGAATTGCATGAATTTCGACAATAAAATTTAACCAAATTTCACGGTCCGCGAGGCTTTAATGTCGATATAATACAACGTGGTGAATATTGCATCAGGATAAATGGTTTAGCGGGCTCGTGTGTGCAATTTTACGGCTCGATTCAATATCGTAAACGAATCTCGCAGATTGAATGCCGGCCACGATCATCGCCACGGCCTCGAAATTTTAGCATAACGTCGTAAATTACGAAAGGGTGGGTTTAATGTTCTTCCATTCCAACGATTTGTTCCCGGTATCGGTGCTCGAATAGTTAGGTCGGGTATATAAGCCAGTATGATTCAACAGGTGCCACTGTAACATGCGAAACTACTCTACGCGAACCACTCTGCCAGACGAGCCAGAATAGAAACTTTTACATCGTTAAGGGTTAATGTGAACGAACGAGCAAATTTTTAAGATTAATATCGGAAATAAATTGACGATCGATATTCGTACATTTAAATAATTCATTTTTTCCTTTTTTTTTTATTTTTATATCTCTTCCAAAATTCCATTTGAAATTATCTTCGCGATTTTTTGAAGGTTATCGACTTCTTCATTAAGCAAATTGTGTTTTTACTTGTGTTGGTAATAATTGCCATTCACTTTTTTTTTAAAAAACTTGATGCTTCATTTTACATTATTCGTGGTAAAATCTTGTCACTATTAAGAGTTTTGTGTAACCTATGAATAATATATTAAAGAAATTTTAAAACATTTTCAATTTCAATTATTAAAATAGTAAAACATGTAAATTTTTAACTTAGAATTGTTCTAATAATTTAATATTTTTCAATTTTCAAAATATAAAAATATACATTCCTCTCTCTCTCTTTCTAGTACTATAATTTATCTACATCGTGTAAAATCTTGTAAATTTGTTTCTTTGTCGATATTTCCGCAATACGGAAAACGATAATCATACGATAAACTGATTAATCGATTCGAGATAACCAAAGCAATAACGAAACAATTTGCAACGCGACCCATAAATCTGGCTCATTATCATATTAATTCAAAACGTGGATCAGGGCGGCCGATTGACAACGATCGGCCGATACGAAGCGTAACGAGAATATCGAATAAAATCGACCATATTATTCCATCAACCGATACCATGAATTTTGAATCGACTTAATTAATTAATTTTCGAAATCCTTCGAAAAGCTTGTACGTTTGTTAATATCTCGATTTAATTTAATCTAATCCGTTAAATAAAAAAATATATTATGATCGAAGCGAAGAGTTTTAATTAAAGGGTATTCATCACGAGTGACTCTTAATGAATTAAATTTCTAATAGATGTCAGTGCTATCGATCACGAGCCGATAAATTCCATTACATCTTGTAAATTTGTTTAACAAAGAACATCGATTAATCTTCGTTAGTTGATGACGAAACAATTCGACGATCGATTAATTGCAATTACAAGATACAAGTGGAGAATAATTATTTCGAAAAGGGTTATTAAATGATACTCCCCTCCTAGTCGAGAAAATGTCGATCGAGTGGAAAGGGACGGAAGATTGTTCAAATATTCGTCGACTTTCAAGTTTTTGATCAAATTGTGTATCGAATTGAATGCAAAATGATATATCAAAATATGATTAAAAGTAAAATTTATATCAAATATCGATGCAACGACGTAAGGAACGAAATACTTGAACTTTTCGCTTCAAATTTTTTATTTAAACAGAAACGGTTGATGCAGAAGACGATACGAGCGTATAAATTGCCTCAATGAAATTGCAGACAAGAGTAATTGAAGAGAAGACGTTCCTTTTATAAGATTTATTATCTTGTTACGAACATTTGTAAGCTGGCTTGCGGTGAAGTTTGCTGCGGCATGCTTTGCTACTTTGGAACACTGTAACAACTATATGAACTAATTTAACGACCTCAAAGAAATTTTTTTATCAAATTGTTGTTGCGTCAACTTTTTAAATACTTTAATTTTTAAACAAAATTAGAAGTTTCTTTCCCATAATCCATCACCTTCGTTATTATCTTTTCTTATCGAAATTTTCTACGAAATTGATTTATCAATTGTTTCAACTTTTCGAAAACTTGTGGCAGGAAATTGTCCACGAATAATATTACTCATTTTTCTAACAAGTTTACGCGAAAAAGATTTTAACAATTTCTCCCCGAAAAGATGGCGATTAAACGAAAGGAAGACTCACATTTAACAAAGGAAAAACGAGAAACAAATCAACGATTCGATATCGAGCGAAAATGAAAGTGAAAATAATTCGCAAGATCCTTCGTTTCGCGAGAGAAAGAATGTATTTATGAGAATAAAATACTTTGTGCGATCGAATAAAACGTTTAGAAATTATTATTATAACGAGAGAAGCATTGTTCTGAAAAGCACGTTATTCAAAATTCAGGGATTATATTAGGAGGGAATGTGTCGCGATTACAACGAGGAGGACACGTGTGCGTTTCAGCAAAAGTTAAACAAGCACGTACGTTATAGAGTCACGTAGCAAAAGCCCTGTAAAGCACAAGCGAAGCGTAAAATTGTAATTCGAGTCTCTTCCGAAAATCAGAAGAAGGGAAGGGAGAAATCATCTGGAATTCCGTCACGTGATACCGAACTGCAAGCCACGTTTCCTTCTTCTTTGGAAAAGATATACAAAACTTAGAATTACGTTCGTTCCAAGGGATACACAATTTTCGAAAGTGTACAAACGAATTAAAACGAGTATCGAGTCGAGTGAATTTTGAACGAGCTACTCTAAAATTTATACCATTTATATCTCGCAATTCCAATTCGTCCAATTCTTGCAAAATTATTATACGTATTTATAATTCCAAAATTATTCGCAACGTTTCATTAAAATTTATATCTTGTCTTGGAAGCAAGAAATCATCTTCTTTACAATGTAGAATTAACTACTATTGAACGAGATTCTTAATATTGTCGTTTGAATGTGACTGTACATGTATTCGACAATGAAAAATGTATTTAGATAGCATGGAGAGGAAACGAAGAAAGAACATAATGAAACATAATGAAAATTTGTATCCAGATATTTCATATGATGCAGAGAAGTAAGATTTCTATTCGCTAAAAAAATCACTACTTCAATATCTACATAAAAGAACATCAAGATCAGAGAAATATCTGATGCTGTCTTATGTGTCATTTCGACGTGCCATATTCCTTTGAATGAATCAGAAAACTTTCGAATTGCGAAACTTCGATTCGCGAATAAGTAGAAAGTTGGTGGAACGTGATCACGAGTCATCGTGTTCTGACCTACCCCTAACTACTGACCTAACCTTGCATCGTGTGACCTATGTCAGAGCTATGTCAGGTGACAAATATTGAATCAGTATTTTATATCGTATGTATTTTCAAGAAAGAATTATTATATAAATATTAATAACAAACAAACATGAATGTAAATTTTAATTATTTTACCTTTTTGGAATGAAATTTATTAAGAATTAATAAAAATAAAACATTACATTCTTTAGGAAAAATAATAATAATGCACATGCTTAGCAATTGGCTTTAATTGATTGCACGAAAAATTCTGAGATATCAATTTAAAAAATAATACATTTTTAAAGATTTTTCTATCTTTTATTTTTCTTTTTTTCTTAACATTGGGTTATTTTCTTTTTTTTTTCTTTTTGTTTTATTATATTGTAGAATTAACTATTAATGTATATTGAACAAGATTCTTAATATTATCCTATATAATTTGAATGTGACATATATTCGACAATGAAAAATGTATTTAGATAGCATGGAGTGGAAAAGAAAGGAAGAACAAAAAGATTTTCCTTTCTAAATTTCACGTACGTACAAAGATACATTTTTCTGATGAATTTTCAATGAACGAGTTTACATAATCCATCTTCTTTCAAATGTAAATCACTTGGTTGGAATTCAAAAAACCGGGGAGAAAAAACTACAGAAATTCGATGTAGCACCTTTAAAAATGTACGAAACAATTGAACGTATTCTTTGATATGGAAAGTCGAAAGTTAAGATCCAACTAACATTGTAACATTGTTTATCATTCAAATATACATACACTTGTAGAGAAATTAAAATTTACATTTATATTATTTTACATTTACATTTTGTAAAATGTAAAATTACATAGTTCCATTCCGACGAACAAGTTGGAAAAAAAAGATAAATATATGCAAAAAAATCTCGTACGTATTCAATCGGAAAAATTAATATCATGTAATATACGATTTGTGTTTCAGGATCGATAAGCAATATAGACGGTGCCGAGGATCATTGCAATAAAACTGCCGTGCGAAAAGTTATCAGCGGAGTCGTTGGAGCAGCAAGCTCAGTCACATCCATCCAAGTGGCAAACCTTCTCCGACTTTTTCGAATACCGCAGGTATGTGTGTCACGTATTACAATTTTAAACAGCAAACTTAAGACTCGTACAAATTACAAATATTCGAATATTCTTCTGAACGAAACAAACATCTTTATATAATTAAATTTAATCCGAAACGAAACCCAGAAACAATATTTTGATCAATGTAATTCTAATCTAAATTATGTGGAAAAATTAGTGTTTGAAAAATAGTTATTTAAAATTAAAATGATTTTTTTTTTTACGAGGAACATTGGAATTATACAATCCTCAAGTTATTCCCTACGTTCTCCATTCGATGAGAGATTAGAGAAAATTTGAGCATTTTCTTCTTGAAAAATCATCCCTCGAGAGTTTATCATTTTCCACCGTATTCTTTTCCTTATCCACGCTCCTCCAATTTCTCCGTCCTGTTTCTTTTTCTACATCGAATATTAGAACGATAAAAAGGAAAAAAAGAATTAGAATTTAATAAAAGAACCGCACAAAAGAATTTCACTTCTACGTTCGCTCCCGAACGACGAGAAACGACGTTCTCCCTCAGGACGAACAATATTAAAGACTTAACAACTTCTATTCTTAAAAAATGCAAGTACAAAAGTTCAAAGATTGTATCATTCACCCCGGGGAAACATCGTTTGAAACTATTCAACCGTGAAATCGCCTTATGGGGATTCGATATCGATCAATGAAATTTTTAATCTTCAAAGAATATTTGATCGAACGAGAAACTTTTGTGCAAATTGACGCATCTTATTTTTACTTGCCTTTTGGGAAACAGAATCGAAAGAAGCTTGAAAAATTTACTGAACTATTTTACGAATTCAAGAAACGACAAAAAAATCGCATTATTTATCTTATTTATTTTTAAATGATC